GGGGGGCCCGCCCCCCCCCCCCCCCCCCTGCCAGCGGCTGGCAGCCAGCGCGGACACTTCTCTCCCCAAAATTTGGAGACAGCTCTAAGCCGGCCGGGGAAAAAAACATCACTGACGCCGCTTTCAGTGAGGTCCGGATCGCCGCGGAGCCGCCGCGGAGCCGCCGCGGAGCCGCAGCCGCCCAGCCCGGCCCTCAGGCGGGCTTCAAGGGGAGAGTGACCCGGGGAAGGGACAGGGACCTCTCTCATCCGTGCCCGGTCCTCGGGCTTCCCCGGCACATTTTGCCGGCATGAAACCGGCACCTGATGGCCTGGTTCGTGAGCAGTAGGTGTGAGGAGTAGCCGCCCGATGGATTTTGACATTGTCCGTCTGGCTTCTCTGAAAAATAGCAGACAGCACCCACACAGCTTGTAAGAGCACTAGAGAGGAGACAATGCTTTCTAGTGAGAAAAGCTGAAAAAAATCAGGAATACTAAACTTCATTTGCTTTTCCAGCCCCGTCTTATCCTCCCCTGCTATCTCCCACTGCATTCACGACTTCCAAAGCACATGCAGGCTTTCCCCTGCGCCAGCTGTGCTTTTCCCTCCGTCCTTCAGCTAATGAAGATGGCTTTTCCAGTTAGAGCCAGGGGACACCGAGGCAATAGCTTGATGTTGGGCCACGAAGGCAGGACAGACAGGCCGGCCCGTTAGGCCAGGCCTGACAAGCTGGTGGCTCGTCACAGCGGTACAGGACTGCTGCAAGGGACCAAGGCGCAAGAAGGGCCAGACCTGGATTAGTAGCCAGGGGGGATTGCTCATCACCTCTGCAGGCAATCCTTGGAGCAACCGTGAACCCCCACATCAAGTCACCTCGGAGCTGTTTTTCTTCTCATCCAAACCTGGGAGGGAAGAAGGGAGAAGCCTTAGTCTTTTCACGTGGGAGGGTCCTATGCCAAAAGCAGCAAGGAAGGAGTGTCATCTTCACAGCCTGCGAAACATTTACCATAACCACAGCACAGAAGAGGTGTGGAGAGACTGTCTTTCAAGCCTATGGCTGGTGGAAGTCAGAGGCAGGACTTCGATGCTGCGCAAGAATTCGGATCAGACTTACTTGGTTTGAACTGTTTTTAAATGACATTATTTGGCGAGGGAAACAGTTGTGAAATGAAGAAGGGGGAAGGAAGGGAGATGCAAGTTAGCACACCTTGTATTGTGTATACAAGTTATGCACTGTCCCTCTTCCCCCCTTGTTAAAGATATTTTAAACAGAGACAACAGAGCACACAGAGCCAAACGCAGCCCAGCTCGGTATCTGGTGCTGGCAGGCAGAGCTGTCCAGCAGCCTTGCATCTGCGGAAGCCATAGCAAGCAGAACCGGGCTCTCACGCGGCCTCCCGGGAATCATGGAGGCACAGGTCACTGGCCAGACTGTGTGTAGGTAAAACTGCCTGCTACGAAGTGAAAACCTGACCCTGGCATTCTTGCTCTTAGGTGTAACCCAAGAAATTTCACTGGCAATGAAGTGAGGCTGGTAGCAATCTCACTCTCCTGTGTCACCAACACCCCTGGAGAGCCTTCTCCTGTGTTACAACCTGCAACTTGCCACGTATTTAGTACAGTAAGTATTATTAGATGAAGTAAAAATTTTATGAGCTATTAAATATCATTAGACATCACAGATCTCATCTCTGCATCACTTTGAAACATCTATTGTCTTAATCAAAATTGTAATAGTTAAGTTTTAGATCGTGTATATTCCAGTTCTACATTACTACATAACTAGGTAACTATCATAAAAATTAACAGCAATGAACTCTCGTTTAGGCCCTTTTATTCAGAGAGCATGGTAAGCGCAGCAAGAGATTAAGCAAGCACAGCATTGACAGAATGCAGCCTGGAGAACCGAAACCTCATGTATGGCCAACAAATGTATAACTGAAGAGACCCCATTCATTACATATAGCTTAAATTTTTAAGTTGATATTGCACCTACCGCTCTGTCAAACTTTAAGCCAGAAGGAATACAACCTACATTAACCAAATAAAATACAGAATCTAGAGTGTGGTAGCTGTTTTAAAGGCACTTAATTAAACGCCTCCCCCCAACAAAAAGCCAACCAACCACCAAAACAAAACAAACCCCAGCCAAACAAAACAAGACAAAGATACAAGAATTCAGATCTGTTTCAGCTTTACAACTTGTGAAACATAAAATGCTCCTACTTATAGCACTGGATGCAATCACAATCCGCTCACCGTCTCTGCAGTTGGATCCGAGGGTATGAGAGAGCTTGGAAATCAAGTAATTATGGATAGCTACGATAACTAACTTGCCACAATGTAGGAGGTTACCAGCCCAGAGCTGGGAGGCTGTAGGTGACGATCTATGTGCTCCTATGACCGTTCCAAGTGAAAAGCCAGTACTTGGCCTGAAATGCCTCACTCTCTGTCCCCGCTTGAGAATAAGATATGAAGTTTATGACTTTGATCTTCAGCATTTTTTTTAACCTTAGGCTTGGCTCTTCTATCCATTCAAGTTGCATGACATGTAAAATCAAAACATCCATATTGAAGAGCAAGCCCATAAGCGGTGTTCCTGTCCAAAGGACTAGAAAGTAGCATGAAAACCCCCCCAGCATTTTCCTTTATTCTAGTTTGATTTCAGGTATGATACCAGTTGTATCCATGTTTCCATCACTGAAAATTACTTGTGTACCAGAAGTATACTGGAGTATAAAATAAAGCCCATAAACGCACCTCCACCCAAACCCACACTGAAAAAAACCAATGACCGTAACACTTATTTACTGCATATTTGCAATTGCTTAGCAATACAAGGATGTTTTAAGAAAGTAGTAGAGACGTGTCTGAGAAGCCCTTGCCTCTTCTCCCAATGGGTTAAATCAAGGCATCATTTTTTGACTTCTTAGTAATCAAATCAAGTAGCAGCTCATGTCCAGATGGTTTTGCCAGCTCTCTAACTTCTGAAAAGTATGTTAAAATTGAATGACTAGATTTTTCTGTGAAGATTAAAATCCAGGTGGTATACTGAAAGCAGTATACGAAAGCACAATGCCATCCTGCCTGTCACCAGGAAAGGGTCCTTGCACATATGGCTTGAATGATGATTTTCTGGTAAAGCTGTTTCTCAAAAAAGAAAATGAACGACCACACCAACTGCACGAATGCATGCACACATTACAATGTGAAATGTGGTTCTTGTTCAAACTGCTTACAGGACTTAACTCTACAAAAGATGAGCCAGGCTATTGAAATTTTCCAAGTGGCTATCCCTCTTTTCAAAGGGACGAAAGGCAGCGTATGGATTTTTCATATCACAGGTATTGATGAAGCAAGGATGTCTGTTTGTAAGAAATGCCATCAGAGGCCTATACAGAAAGAAAAACCTGCATCTTACAATTAAATAGGCCCTTAAAAAAAACTTAAACACAATAATGCAAAGAAACCAATTTTGCTTTGCTGCTTAATTAGGTCTCCTGCCTGTAGTAGGCCATCACGTTATGTTGACCTATGCAATACTTTATGGAAGAGTCACCTCCAGAGAGGCCGAAAGCCATTTCCATCAACTGTATCGACGCCGACACTAGAATGGTAATACGTCTAACAAGGAGGAGGAAGGGAGATTTGATTGTTTTGTGAATGAGCTCACATTTATGTTTTACAAAACTTAGATATTTTCCAAATTATGAAAAAAAAGTTTACCCATTCTCTTTTTGCTAATTCAATATTTGAGGCAACATCAAGTGCTTATAACATGTTTTATTCAATTCACATAGAAAAGCATGCAGTATTAATGTAAAATGGTACAGTATTAATGTAAAATGTTCAGTGCACATTAGGTAAACAAGTCATTAGCATACAAACCCATTTTTATGGTCTATACAGGCATACTGAACACATTTAGAATAACAATGCTTTTTGGAAACTAAATTAAAAATTGTGCTTAACTTCAAAAAATACAAGCTATGTTTGCAGTGTTAAAGAAGAGACATTTTCTAACTGAAGTGCTGTAATCCTGAAAAGAAAGAGGCTGCTACCTTACACCCACTTAAAACAAGAGTTTCAGTACAGTACAGTGCTATCAAGCAGTCCAAGCAGCAACATTTCCTCTGGGAGGCAAGTTTTATGGCAAAACTGACATTGTTTTATAGCAATTTCGTGAATCCATAGGATATATAGCCAGTAGCTGCCTTACATGCACAAAACGTAATCTTTAGGAATGGGAAACATAACCTTTAAAACAAATTCTTACATAAAGGACTGATTTGGCAAGACCACTAAAAATTGTCCTGTTCAAGGGAGCCACTAGCTGTGCTCACAACTGCAAGATCATGTAACCTGAAAACTTAAAAAACCCACCCAAAACCCCCAAGTAAACAAAATGCCCAGCCAAAGAACAGAATCTGGAATGGTTCTTCTCTAGGAAAGAGCATGTAATGGGTAAGGGAATGTTCAGTTTTCACATGGTTGAAAAAGACAGGATCAGATTGCATGGAAGTCATTAAAAGTTAAGTTCACCTGTAAATATTAAACATTTGCAGGCTGACGACTTTGAGTCATGTTCAATTTCCAAGCAGAGTCAGTTTTTGGTGGTTTTTGACGGACTAGCACTGGAAAGGCTGCTTTGAATTTTCCTCTTGGTTGACTGACTGACATTTTTATTTTTCCTTTCAGTTATAAAGGAAGACACCCAAGGAGGATTAAGCTGATTGTGCAGGTCAGATGACATCTTTAAAAAGCAGGAACCGAACTTTTGTTCTTCAAACAACCTTTGTGAGTTACTGAATAGTAAACTCTGGGAAAAGTCTCTTTGAAATGAACAGTTTGGAGGTTTGATATCACTAGCCACTACGTTTTGGCCCGTAAACAGCGGAAAGTGGTCATTCATATCTAGCTCAGATGGGGACAGGACGGAAAACATAGCAGGTTTCCAGCCAGTTCTGTCAACTGCCAGATTGCTTGCCTCTGGACACTTCATACTCTGTTCCTCATTCATCTCTTCCAGTTTCTTCTCAGTTTCATCCAGAAGCTTAGAGCACTCTGTTGACTTTGAAGAATTATCAAGATCGGAGGACTTGAAATTATAGCATGGACTCTTGCTGTTGTCTGATTCGGACATCATTGAGTCCAACTCAGAAATTTTATCGAGGTAGGCAGCATCCATAGATGCCTCACTGGAGGTTCTTGTGCGATTCATTTCGGAAGA